TATTCATAACCAAATATAAAACAGATTAAACATTTTCAGAATATAATTATCATACAATACAATTTGATTCAAATTTTTTTATCTTAAAAGCTTATAAATCGTAAAATATTATTATTTTTGAATCTTCGGAATTGTGATTTATATTATTTAAAATACTAGTTGGCCCGTGCGAAAAATTCGCAGAAAATTTTGTTTAGTGAAGAAATAGCAAAACAATATGGAAATAAGTAGTTCCTATGTACTATGTAAAGAAGGAATTAATATTTTTTCCTTGGTCGATTACAATATTCCAATAAACATAGTAGACAAAAATATTTGTACAAATTGCTTTGCTAGGATCTCATTTTTAAACGCTGACTGAAAGATAATTAAAGCAATAAAGACAAAATAATGCCCTGATCATAGGATATTCTAAATTATTAAAAAAAATAAAATGTAAGAACAACCAAATATCTTTAAGAAATAATAAAGTTAATGAAAAAGCCAGGAAAAAAAAGTGTAGTAGTTTATTCTAATCCTAAATGCAGTATCTTTAAACAGGAAGACATTATTAAGTATACCAAAACTAATGGACTTTATCTTTGTTAATAATTGTCCGATTTTTACGATTTTTTTTTTGCAGGTAATTTAGTAATATTTTAAATTATGCATACTTTTTGAGTTATTCTTAAATAAAGTTTCTTTTCATAACTTTTTTTCCAGAAATTTCGGAGGGATGGGACTATTTTTCGCATGTGAAGGAGGAAAATATCTTCAAAATGAGTTGTCAATCATTGGATTTGATAAAGAATAGACGAAGTTATGGCGTACCTACCAAAAAACACCTTTTAGAAATAATATATAGGATTAAATATTGCACCAATAATGTAAAATTATTATTTTTTTTTTTCTCTTCAAAATTTAATTCTCACCTTTCATGAGTTTGACAATAAGAAGTGTTGTGGTGAATTTGGAAAAAATTGATAACGAAGGATAACACCATCAGGGAGCGGTATTATCTGGCATAAAATTTTAAATTGAAAATATTGTAGTTTTTATAAGTCCCGTCTTTTTTTTTTTTTTTTTTTTGAACTGTTAATCTGTGAAGAATTATTAAAATATTGTTCATCACTCCACAACTGTAAAATTTTAGAAAAATATTTTATCGTTTTAAATTGTCAGAAACTTGGACCTTAAAAAGCAACCTGAGGAAGAAACTCCTAGCGACAGAAATGGATTACTGGAGACGAGTGACGGGAATGGACAAAGTGAGAAATAATGGAGGCTAACAGAACCATTCTGGAAGAGATTAAGCAAAAAAAGAGTCGGGATTGGTATGGACATTTGAACATAATACCTGAAGGAAGACTTCCCAAAGAAGTCCACTTATGGAAAACTGGAGGAAGAAGAAGACGAGGAAGACCTGGGATAACGAAGTGGAGGAATCCATGATAGGTCATGGACTACGGGAAGAGTGGACCTTAGATAGAATATTATGGAAAGAAGCCATCCAAGCACTCTATGTTAAGTAAATTACTATTAGTGGAAACTCCTAAAAAAAAAAATTAAATAAATTGTCAGAAAGACTTGTTTTATTGAATAGACAGAAGAATTTTACACTAGTACAACCAATTTTAAAAATTAATTTATTTATATAATAATAATCCTACATATTATTTCTAAAAGTTGTTTTTTTGTCGGTACGCCGTAACTTAGTCAATTCTTCATCAAATCCAATGATTGACCACTCATTTAGAAGACATTGTTCTCCTTCACATGCGAAAAATATTCCCATCCCTCTGAAATTTCTAGAAAAAAAGTTATGGAGAAAAATAAACTTATTTGCGGATAACTCAAAAAGTAAGCGATTTTTTCTTGATTGTACCCATGATAATCAGAAAGATTATTAAATTACCTACAAAAAAAAAAAAAAAAATAATCTGACAATTATTAACAAAGATACAGTCCATTATTTTTGGTATACTTAATAATGTCTTCCTGTTTAAAGTTATTTCATTTAGCACTAGAATAGTCTACTAATATTTTTTTTCTGGATTTTATATTAACTTTATTTTTCTTAAAGACATTTGATTGTTCTTAAAATTTTTTTTTTTTATAATTAAAAATATCCTATGATCCGGGTATTATTTTTTCGTTATTACGTTTATTATCGTCAGCGTTTAAAAATGGATCCTAGGAAAGCAATTTGTATTAATATTTTTGGTCTATTATGTTAAATGGAATATTGTAATCGACTAAGAAAAAAATATTAATTCCTTCCTCACAGAATACATAGGAACTACTTATTTCAATATTCTTTTTCTATTTCTTCACTCAACAAATTTTTTTCACACGGGCCAAATAGTTCTAATTATTTTAACTCTCCTATAATATTCTGTGGATTCACCGGATATGTTGATGGATATGCTTTCCAATCGAGAATTTCAGAGTAGGTTTTGTTAAAGAACAGACGGCTACAAAATCGATTGTGACACCAAAATAAACTTCATAATCGATAATCGATAATTAATAACACATGTAACGTTTCATTATGAAATTTTAAAAACTTTTGAAAACGACACCTGCCAACATGATAAAAGGATAAGTGTGGCAAAATGACAGCTGGGAACAGGTTAGTCTACTCGTAACGCTTCGGCGGTTCACAACAATGTCACCTTCCGTTTTACAAGGATTTTTGACACATCGTCTGAAAAAAAAAATTAGTGTGTCCACTCACACGACTTTTCTACCAAAATGTTTTTACATATTTAAATATGTTCTTAAAGAAAACAAAAAAAAATCTGGTGTGCGCAACACACAACTTTCACTTATCGCTCTACTTTGAATAGTAATTACTTTCTGGCAATGCTGGGCTATTATAAATTTTTTTGAATTGCATTTTAAACAGAGATAAACCTTAAAGCTTACAGATAACAAGTCATTAATACCATTATAATTACAAAATGTCTATTTAACATATTGACGGTAGGCAATAAAAAATTAGTCACTCCATCTGCTTTTACAAACCACACAACTTTCTTTGCTTTTATAAACAACAGAATAACTAACTCCAATTTCAACATTTTTTAATAATGTCATTTTAGTGATATTTTTAGTTGAAAAAATTATCTATGCAGACAGTGAGTAAGTTGATAAAACAAAAGATATAAGCTTTGAAGCAGAACATATTAAAAAAAAAAAAAGCTAGAGGCAATATCTTTCCTCCTAATTTTCCGATTTGAAGGAATTTTTTTTTATAAAATTCCGTAAATTTTTAAAAAAACCATATACAATATCGACAAAAAAGTGTATACTTTTTGGGTTATTCAGAATTTAATTTTACCATCTCTCGTAACTTTTTTTTCCAGCTTCTTTTCGTTGAAGTATGTTATATAGATAAATTTAAAGGGTGTCGAGAAAATGACTTTAACAAAGTTTCATTGAAACCGGTACATTCGTTTAGGCGTTGCAGTCTATAGCAACGCAGGTTTTTCTGCTTTTTTTATTTATTTCTCCTTGATTAACTTATCAAATTCTGTTAAAAGTTATATTTAGCATTTTTTCGTAACTCTGAATAATTTGAAATGATTAACTTTTTAATATAAACCATATTAAAGGTACTTTAGAGGAAGACGTATATGAACATTGGGCATATAAGCCCTGTAAAGTGACATCAATGTGGATAAGACCTAATTGGTATTAAAGATTACTTCATTATACAATGATACACCGAGTGAGAAAATTATAAAAATGTGTTCTAGCGTTGATATAAAGTGGCAATTCTGGGTAGCCGATTTTGAGGAAAAAGTTGCTGTCACATCTAAGGCACATACCTATCTTAAATACGTAATATCAGTTTCGTACGACTTTTCGTTTTTGAGCTAGACTGCTAACATACAAACACACAGACCATTTTTCGGGACTTGGTTATTTCGACTCAGGGTACCTCAAAACGTCTATTTCAGTTGAAAACTCAGATTCAAAAATTTTCTTGATCGCAATACTTACCCTTACTATATATTACATATATACGTAAGTGAAAGTAAAAAAACACACTTGACTTAGATTTATTTTTCTGAAAATTGATCAAAGGAATATTTCAGTACGGTTTCTTTGATAATCTAAAGCTAAATAAACTAAATGTTTAAAAAACGGACCTGCATACTATGAGCGAGGGAATTGTTCAAAATTTCATCCCCTCTGTAATAAGGTATAATTCAAAATAGTATTTTAACTAGACCTTAATGTTCCATATGTTTCCGATCTGGCCCAATCCAGATACCTTTCTTTCCATAACAAACTGCAGAATCATCCGAATCCTCTCGTTTCAAACCTTGCTTCCTCCTCGATCCCTGATAACCCTCCGAGGCGTCTGAAAAGAAGATGGCCTCGGGATCTTCTAATATAGAACTTTAATTTGAGTTCTACCAATGGGTAGTTTCTCTTCATGTTGTACATGCCATGTTACAAATTTCTCATTTACTTATTGTATTCTCTATGTAATACAGTTGTAAATTCCATTGAAATAATAAAAAAAAAAAAAAAAAGTATTTTAACGCGATACCGTGTTAGAGAGGCGAAAAGGAAAACCAAATAATAACGATGTTTATGAAATATATGGAATCAAATATCTCTTTCTCATTTACTTATTGTATTTCTCATTTACTTATTGTATTCTCTATGTAATACAGTTGTAAATTCCATTGAAATAAAAAAAAAAAAAAAAAAAAAAAAATATCTCAGAAACTAAAAATCGGACCTGCATACTGTAAGCGAGGGAAATGTTCAGCATTTCATTCTCTTTATAATGAGCTATCATTTATACTTTATATTTCATATTATTATTTTCGCTTTGTTGATGTTTTCACTTCTATTGTGTGGTCTATAGCTTTATTTATTTTTTTTTATTTGTTTATTAAAACAAAACAAATACATAAAATATATTTCGGATCACTGCGTGAAGGTGATCCTGGATAATTATTGGATCTCACTGGATTATATAAATAAATATGAGTACTTACTTTTGTTATAGGAGCGAAGAGCTTGCTCAATATAAACCTGTAAATTAAAACAAGATTAGTATCAAATAATATTAGTCAAATATCGAATACAACCAATCAGGAATATAAACAGACTGATAAGTCAGGATGAAGATTAATATTACTTGTGTAAACAACATTAATCAAACAATATATTTTCAAGCCATGTTAACAGAACTTAAATGGATAATTTTCAATATTAGCGTCCTCTAAAGTTCCTTTGATTTTTTTTATTTGAAATAATTAACCATTGTGAAATGTGATTAATGTGAATTAATCTTTGATACAGAAAACATGTTGAATATAAAGTATGAAAGAATTAACTAAATGAGAAATAAGAGATCTTAACAGATAATAGTTGAAATCCATATGTGCTTGTTTCAGGTGAAAATGTTCTAATATTATAAAATTAGCCTTCAAAGAAATAATATTAATATTAAGAAATAGTATTAATTATTTTTTCACCATATTTATTTCAATTTACATAGCTACGTTTCGGCCGGTAAGCTATCTTTTACATATTTGTCACTTAAATTAATAAAAGTTCTAACTACATTATTGTGTATTCCACTAATAACGTTTAATTCTTCTCTAAATAACTTCCAACCCTCTTTCATCTTTGACCCATTCAGCCTCTGATTGGTCATGTTCAAATCCACATGTGCTCGTTTTAGGTGAAAATTTTCTAATATTATAAAAGAAGGCTTTTATTACAACGATATAGATATTATTGTATATATATATATCTAAGGGTTAAATTTACTTATTTACTTAAACAAATAAAAATATCTAAAATGAAATATAAATCAATATAGCGTTTACAATTTTTGCTTTCACTTTCCGTTGCTCTGAAAAAAGTTATTTCCTCTAGGAACAGGGTGGTAAGTGAAAGTTGTGTGATGCGCGCACCGCGCCAGGTTTTAAAAAAATTATTTTATTTATTGTATATAGTTTTTTATTGTATATTTATTTAGTTGGTATTTTGTTTCTGTTTATTTTATTTATTTGTATTTTCTGAATATATGGTGTGAATGCAATTTTTTCTCACAATAACCATTGTCCATGTGACAGAATGTTATATTATTAAAAAAAAATAAAAATACGTAGTGCAACATTCATTTTTCCTCTGACTAACAAATCATCTTGAACAGTTCATAATTTGATTTTGAACTTACAGAATACACCACCATTTTCATGATCAAAGTATTTGATTATACGGTTATTATAATTTTCTGTACAAGATGTTTGCTACTTTTTTAAAAAATGTATTTATTCAGAAACATTACAATCTGTCATAATTAAGGACATTTATAATAGCGTTCAGAGAGCGCATTTATATTTACAATAAATAAAAATAAATAATACAGAAACTAATAAAAAGTAAATGTATATAAATATAAGAACTAAACTATTCAAAATAACAACTAAAACACATGCATAATATACAATATTTACAGAATCCATTCACTCAGAAGAACTCAGAGCAAAGCCTTTCTCCTCATTCGCGTAAGGAAAGGCAGGACTCAAGGAGATCCCAGCGCCTCGCACTGAGCCGCTATTAAGAACCAGTAGAGGCGCTATAATCACACGTTTTGCTACTATACTTCGTAATTTACGTGGAATAATTTTTTATTATTTTCTAAAATTTACTTCTTTAAAAATCAATTTTCCTAAGAGGTAAAACTACATTTAGTTTTTTCTTAACACAGGATGTGGACATGGCTGTTCTCAGTGACGAAAATGCAGAAATACAGTCATTTTACAGGCGACTGAACACTACAACTACTTTTTTACGTCCTGGTATTGTACGATTTGAAACAGATTGAAAATATTAGAAAGTAGATTTTTTTTTTAGACAAAACAAGAAATAATATCAATATTATAATATTATTTCTTGAAGATGTTCATTGGTACGAAAAGTGAAAACTTCTTTGCTCTTATTTTGGAGAATGTATTAGATTGCACCGTCACATTTTTGATGTGTAACGGCTCGAGTAATGTCGGCTGGATTTCAATATCTCAAAAACTAAAAATCGTACCTGCAGTGAGCGAAATGTTCGTCATTTCATCCTCTTTTTAATAATCTATTATTCAAAATTATATCTTAACGCGACGCTATGTTAGAGAGACGAAAAAGGTAAAAATAGTGCCGAAAACCAAATGATAACGAATTTTATGAAAGATATGAATGAAAATATTTCAGAAACGGCAATAAGACCTAAATACTGTAAGCGAAAGATATGTTTAGCATTTCATCCACTTTATTATGAGCTGTTATTTATAATTCATATTCCATATTATTAATCTCGCCATGTTGATGTTTTCACTTCTATCATGTGATCTAAAGCAAAAACCATAGTTTTTTAAAAATCCTTTGAGCCATCATTTTGAACAATATCTTCTCTTACGTGCCGAAAGATAAACATAGAAAAAAAATCTGCTGCGCGCATCACATGGCTTTTACTTACCACCCTCTTGTTAGCAGAAATAAGTATTTTCAGACAAATGGGAAGGGAAAGTAAAAATTATAAATGCTATTTTGATTTGTATTTCATTGTAGGTATTTTTACATATGTATATATATATATATATATATATACATATGTAAAAATACCCACACACACATATATATATAATATTGTCGAAGTCCATATTATATTAAGCTAATGTTACTTATGGGAACCCTTTTGTAATCTTTCGGGCGAGCTCGGCCGCGGTCGTATTTCTTTGGTTCTTTCATTAAAACTATTATCTATTACGATCTTTTATTTCTCCTTAAGTTAATTATCAAATTCTTTCATATTTTAAATTTTATAATATTTTTTATATTAAAGATTAATGTGAAATGGTTACTTATTTGAAATAAAAAAAAATGGTTCTTTAGAAGAAGCTAATATTGTAAATTAGCCACTTAAGCCCTGTCAGAGAACATCAGTGAGAAGAAAACCTACATTATATTAAAAACTGCTTAATTAATACTCTGATATTCTGAGTTTAATCAAAATCGTTAGAGCCGTTTTTGAGAAAATCGTAAAAATCTAGAATTTTTTTTTCTTTATTGAGTATTATAACAATCTCTCTCTTGGACATTGGTTATAGTGAGGTAACATATAAACAATTAAATAAAGTACCACTTCCGGTTTACCGATTTTGACGAAAATATTGCTGTAACACCCAAGGCTTATAAAATCCTTAAATACGCAATTTCACTTTCGTACTATTTTTTGTTTTTTAAACTAGGCTGTTCACATACATACACACACACACAGACTATTTTGCGGGACTTGGTTATTTGGACTAAGGGAACTTCAAAACGTATATTCCCGTTCAAAACTCAGATTCGAAAAATTTCACGGTCGTAATATGCAAGAACCCAATCTCCACGGTGTGCTACTTCCTTCCATCTTCGAACGGCCAACCGCCTCAGATCGTCCTCAACATCCTCCAGCCATCTGATCCCAAGACGCCCTCTACTTCTTTTGTCATCCGGCTTCTCATGCAGCATCCTCTTTGGCATTCTTTCCACATCTAATTCTGGCTCTTTTTATCAATGACACAAGATCAGGTTCACCATAGAGTTCCCGCAGCTCCTCATTCTTTCTTCTTCTCCAAATTCGGTTTTCAAAGATCCCGCCCTATATTCTTCTCAATACTTTCCTCTCCCAGGAGTTGAGTGTGCGTTCTGAGTTTTTGGTCAAGGTCCTAGTCTCACACCCATACTTAACCACTTGTCTGACTATGGTTTTGTATATGAGAATTTTATTTTTTTTAGAGAGTGATCTGAACTTCAAGTCTCTTTGCAGTGAGAAATAGCATCTATTTCCTGCTGCTATCCTGGCCTTTATTTCACTCTCTATTTTATTATTGCATGTGACCAGGCTTCCAAGGTACTTCAACTGATCAACAGACCGAAAGTTGTCATCCCTTAATGCTATTTCTGTACTGATTTCCTTCTCCATTTCTGAATTTTTGATATACACCGTCTTATTTTCGTTAACTCTAAGGCCCAGTTTAGCTACTGCTTCTTCGAATTCCTAGAATGTTCCTGATAATGATGCTTGGGTTTTATAGATAATGGCAACATCATCGGCATATGCCAGATGTTGAGACAGACGATTGTAGATTGTTCCTCCTGGATTTGTTCGAATAGAACGAATAGGCACTTCCAAGACGAGATTGAAAAGATGGGGAGATAGAGGATCAGCCTGTATCAATCCGTTATCCACCTTACATTCTTCGGACAGCGACTTTGCAAGTTTCACTCGACAGGTAGTCTTCCTTAGGGTCATTTTTGTAAGTCTCACCAACTGGTATGTATATGGATTATAAAATCTCAAAAAACTAAAAATCGTACCTGCTTACTGTTAGCGAGATAAATGGTCAGCATTTCATTCTCTTTATAATGAGCTATTATTTATAATTCATATTTCATATTATTAATCGCGCTCGTATTCCTTTGTTTCTACCATTACAACTATTATCTATTACAATATTTTTTTCTCCTTAAGTTAATTATCGAATTCTTTCATATTTTATATTCAATAATTTCTTATATTAAAGATTAATGTGAAATGGTTAATTATTTAAAAAAAAAAAAAGGTGCTTTAGAAGAAGCTAATATTGAAAGTTAGCCATTTAAGCCTTGTGTCAGTGAACATCAATGAGAATAAAACCTACATTATATTAAAAACTGCTTAATAATACTCTGATATTCTGAGTTTAATCAAAATCGTTGGAGCCGTTTTTGAGAAAATCGTAAAAATAAAGAAAATATAAAAAATTAAATGAAGTACCACTTCTGGTTTACCGATTTTGACGAAACTACCCAAGAAACTTCTTGGGTATGCCTACATCTATCATAGATTTCAAAAGTCCCTTTCGGTCTACACTGTCGTATGCCTGTTTGAAGTCCGGAAAGAGGATGTTAAATTCATAATATTTTTCCATTATCTGCCTCAGAGAGAACATCTGGTCAACTGTTGATCTTACAGACCTAAAGCCTCCCTGATATTCTTCTAT